AAAACCACAATGAGACACCACTTTTTACCTACTAGGATGGCTATAATAAAGAAAACAGAGAGAAAATAGCAATTGGTGACAGTGTGGGGAAATTTTAATCCTCATGAATTGCTGGTGGAAATATAAAATGGTGGGCCAGCCCAGTGGCGCACTGGAGAGTGCGCCGCTTGGGAGCACGGCTGCGCTCCCGTCGAAAATAGCAATTGGTGACAGTGTGGGGAAATTTTAACCCTCATGAATTGCTGGTGGAAATATAAAATGGTGGGCCAGCCCAGTGGTGCACTGGAGAGTGCGCCGCTTGGGAGTGCGGTGGCGCTCCCGTCGAGGGTTCGGATCCCATGTGGAGACTGGTTCCCGCTCACTGGCTGAGCGCAGTGCAGGCGCAACACTGAGGGTTGCAATCCCATTGCCGGTCCCCAGTACGGGCATAACACCGAGGGTTGCGATCCCGTTACCGGTCAGTAAAAAAAGACAAAAAGGAAGAAAAAAAAAAAAAAGAAATATAAAATGGTTCAGCTGCTGTGGAAAACAGTTTGGTGGTTCCTCAAAAAGTTAAACATAGAACTACCATATGACCCAGCAATTTCACTTCTAGGTATAAATACAAAAGAATTGAAAGCAGGTGCTCAAACAGATGATTTGTACACCCAAGTTCATAGCCTCATTATTCACCATAGCCAGAAGGTGGAAACCACCCAAGTTTCATTCAACAGATACAAAATGTGGTATGTACATACAATGAACTATAATTCAGCCATAAAAAGGAATGGAATTTTGATATATACTACAACATGGAGGGACTTTGAAAACATGATGCTAAGTGAAATAATCCAGACAAGGAAGGACAAATATTGTATGATTCCACTTTCATGAAATACCTAAACAGGCAGATACAGAGAGACAGAAAGTAGAATAGAGGTTTCCTGGGGCTGGAAGGAGGGTGGTAGAGAGTTATTGTTTATTAGGTACAGAGTTTATGTTGAGGATGATGAAAAAGCTTTGACCACTGAACAACACTTCCTCCCCTGCTCACAACTCTACTTACTTTCATTCTGAGTATTTCCTGGTGATTCACTTGGCCAAATTTTAAAATCACCTTGAACTGAAATCTCTTCACTCTTCCTTTGTCTTCTTCAGCCTTGCAACTTCTTGTTTCATTAACTGAATTTAAGCAAGATAAGTGAGCCTTTTATAATATATAGAGAATAATAAAATCCTGTCACTGGACATGTTCATGCAGAGGTTAGGTCTCCTACAAAGATTGACTCAAGTCTCAAGTGAAGATCATTTGAGTTTATTCTTACAGTTCCTTTCAGCCTGAGATTCTATTATTCTATTGATGTCATTACACAGGAGAAAACATGGCATTATTAAAACCATAACAATTTCATGTTCCATATGATTGGATGAGACCCAATACATCAATGCCCTCCTTAGGATTCATCTGCTTAGATGAAATTACCTTTTAGTATTTACAAATGTCCTCTAGAATGGTAAACATTTCACATAATTGAAAGCCTCCTTAGTCTAATGTTACATCAGAGAAAGCTAAATAGAAAGATAGATAGATATCACATTTTACTTATTATTTACCTTTTACATTTTAGAAAAAAAGATTATTTTGAAATACTTATAGATTCACAGGAAGTTACAAAGAAATGTACAGGGAGGTCCCCTTATTATATTTTTAAAATTAAAAATTTTATGGAACTTTAAATTAAAAATAACACATGCTCACTGAAAAATTTACCTAAGTCAAAGGCATATCAAATGAAAATGAAATATCTTCAACTTTACACCACAAACTGCCCAGTGCCACTGTTGACAGTTTGGTGTGTGTCCTTTCAGTCTTTTGTTTATATACTTATACAATTGGCCAAATAAAAGAAGCCACCTTAACAATCAGTCCCAGCTTCCTTTCCATCCCTGCATAGCCCTGTCCCAAAGTCC